TTCGAACCCGCGACCCTCTGATTGCGAGTCGAGTGCCTTAACCACCTGGCCATGCCGGGCCTGAGGCAAAGAAGAAGCCGAAAATGAAATATGTTGAGGATTTTTATTATTTCGATTGGCAGACAAAATCTTTCACATTTTCTTTCAAACATTTCTCAGTTTATCTTACTGACTGCTAATAAACTTTATTTCATCAATAAAAATAATCATCAGATATAAACAAACCGTCAAATCAATATATCCTTTTTATCGCTAAATAAGGCTATAGAATCGTACTGTTTTATCACCAAATTTTGATGAAAATAACGAGAATTTCAATTATTTTAAGTAAAGCACCGTTTCCCTGTTAAAACTTGTACAAAGACAAAGAAAGAGAAATCAGGATACACCACTTGAGGTAGTTATAAAATCTACGTTGCAACATGTTATTTTTTAAACTTTATAATTGGCATTTCTTCGAAGAGATGTACAGTATTGGAAACGGAAAAAGAAAATGGTATAAAAGGCAAATACTTCGGGAATATTACCCCCTTTATCTTGCGAAAATAAATTGCACCAGAGTACAGTCGCATGTGATTTGTTTTCATACAACCAATCAGAAAGTGCTACAGCAGTATAAAGCATATAAACATTCAAACAAACATATTATGCATAGTAGCGGTAGTTTGTTCTAGTCCTGGCTCCCATATGACTGAAATAACGCACGACAAACATGAATAAATCAAAGTTTTAACTCGTCACAAAAACACCGTATAAAAACTTTCAACGACATTCTATGTTTCAGTAGGAGTCGTTTGAAAGACTCTGAAGAGAATACAAAAAAAAAAACTGGCATTGTACATAATACAAATGGTGAAGGGAGAAACTCCAAACTCTCCAGAGTGATGTTGAGGATTTCAGGACATGTTTCTTATGAGAAAATGACGGTCAACATATCAATTTACCTACTTTATGAGTCTTAAAAATCTGTTTTGGTAACATGTTAAGCTTGGTATGTTAATAACAAGAGTTTCCAATAGACGTGTAACTGCTAGAAAGCCGCTCCCTAGAAGAGGTAACGAGATCAAACGATTGGAATGGGGAAAGCTGGAAACGTGTTCCCTTTACAGATGAAATCAACTTCGAATTATTCGGCATCAACGATAGTTTGATCAACAGCAGAGATGAGACCATAGTCAATGACACTCAAAGTCTACAATGAAGCGTGGTGGGAGCTCAGTACAAGTTTGGTGCTGCGTCTCAGATAAAAGTATCAATGATCTATATACAAAATTTATAGCACCATGACTACTGCCAAGTACAGACAAATCCATACCATTCCCTCAAAAATACGACTCATTGAGCGGGAATTTATCTTTCAGTAAACCAGTAATCCCAAGCAAACAGAAGTGTAGTAAAACAATATCTTGGCGGTAAAATAGACCGAAAGAACACTTATAATCATGACTTGAATGCACAAAGACACGATACAAGTATTCTTGGGGATATATGGGTTTATGTAAAAACTTAAAAAGATTGGTTTGGTTTGGTTCGAACTTCGCTCAAAGCTACACGAGGGCTATCTGCGTTAGCCGTCCTTAATTTAGCAGTGAAAGACTAGAGGTAAGGTAGCTAATCATCACCACCCACCGCCAACTCTTGGGCTACTCTTTTACCAACGAATAGTGGAAATGACCGTCACATTATAACGCCCCCACTACTGAAAGAGCGAGCATGTTTGGTGTGACGGGGATTCGAACCCGCGAATCGAACTTGCGAGTCCAGCGTTTTATCCACCTGCTCAGCCGGTTTGATGAGTACTGATATTGGGCAAAAGTACTGGTCGACATTGAACATGACAGATGTGGTGTGGTTGAACATGTTATAAATATTCTCCTTTGCTTTCATTCGTGGGTTCTTAGACTTACAATAGTAGTTTTCTGCTGTTGACGCTGTGGTTGTTTGACCTGTTTCAAGAGCAAAAAAACTAGGTTGGTGGTTCGCAGGTTCACGTGAATCATAGTAAAGTCAACTCAAAGATTAATAAAATGAATAAATAAAACTAACTAAATAATCAGTCTTAGAAGTTAAAAATGGGTTAAGTTATATTGCATTATTAATTCTACATTAAAATTCTAATTCGTCAACGAAAATCCTCATCGGCATTGGATTTAACAAACGTGGCGTGGTTAACATGTTATAATATATTCTCTTTTGTTTTCACGCAAGAGTTTTTAGAACTGCATAATATTTACAAATAAAGAATAATAACACACCATCCTGAGGTTTAAATACATTTAATTATGTTGTCTGATCTGTCTTATTTACATATAGTAACTTGAAATTGGTCTATACAATAAAAAAAAATATAAAAAAACGGAAATTATAATCATTAACTACTTGAAAAGTTTTTGCTGACTCTCTGAGGGCCCTTTCTTTTGAGAGGGCTCCAAGCTGTTGTAGGACATAACCTACACTGTAACACTTTCTTTTTATCATTTCTAAGCTACGAAATATTTCGAAATTTTCTTACTAGATGGGGTCACGTTACCTCGTTATCTGGTAAAACAGCAATAACATAAAACAAAACACCGTTAAATGTTACTCTAACTGTTTGGTTTTGTACAATATGAAAAAAAATGAAAGGTAATATACTACCATGTGGAGAAATTTTACTTCAGTAAAATTTTAAAGGCCTCATAAATGCTAAAGTTTGGTCATTATAAAAAAAAATTGATTGCGAAGTTACTTATAAAATTATATAGGAATGCTACTTCAAGATGCTGAAACCATAAAAAAATCGCCCCCCCCCCCAACATTATAATCCGAGTTTCGATACCCGATGTGGGCAAAGCACAGATAGCCCATTGTGTAGCTTTGTGCTTAGTTACAAACAAACAATAAAAAAAGATCGATTTTTTACGTACATCAATTGTGAGTTGTATAACTGTTGCAGTTTGTATCAAAATACCCTCTCTGTAGATTCTCATAAATACAAGAAATCTTCCTAGCTTAACATTACAGTTTCTAATGTTTTAACCTGAAAAACGGAAATGAACTTCTTCTCTGGGATAATTTTTGTTTATTTTCATGAAAATTTTCAAGACACTTCACAGTCCTTAGGGCCTGGCATGGCCAGGTGGTTAGGGCGTTCGACTCGCAGTCTGCGGGTCGAGGGTTCGAATCCCCGTCACACCAAACATGCTCGCCCTTTCAGCTGTTGGGGCGTTATAATGTGACGGTCAATCCCACTATTCGTTAGTAAAAGACTAGCTCAAGAGTTGGCGGTGGGTGGTGATGATTAGCTGCCTTCCCTCTAGTCTTACACTGCTAAATTAGGGACGGCTAGCGCAGATAGCCCTTATGTAGCTTTGCGCGAAATTCAAAAACAAACAAACATAGTCCTTAGATTCAATTCGGCATTTTATAAGGATGGAAATCGAAATGAAAAATCTGCTAGTGTGAACTATGTTCATACAAGTGAATGCACGTTTAGTGCTCTGCAGTAAAACTAAATAAAACATCTGCTAATATGAACTATGTTCATACAAGTGAATGCAAGTTTAGTGCTCTGCAGTAAAACTGAATAAAACATCTGCTAATATGAACTATGTTCATACAAGTGGATGCACGTTTAGTGCTCTGCAGTAAAACTGAATAAAACATCTGCTAATATGAACTATGTTCATACACGTTTAGTGCTCTGCAGTAAAACTGAACAAAAAATATGCTAGTATGAACTATGTTCATACAAGTGAATGCACGTTAATGCTATGAAGTAAAACCGAACAAAACATCTACTAGTATGAACTATGTTCATACAGGTTTAGTGCTCTTCAGTAAAACTGAAAAATACATCGGAAAAATGAAATATACCAACTTTCAACTGTTCCGGGTGTTCCTTACCACGTACTTTCAAAATTCTTGGCAGCGTTCTAATGACAGACTTGCATCAAAGAAGGGATGATTAGTGAGTTGAGAAGAAAACACTCCTATTTGTTCAGAAAAAATAAGAAAATCCTCCAATAATACCGAATGAGTCAAAGTTGTGATTTTTTAAGTGTTAAATGGTTTTTAATGTCGTGCATTTCTTAGGAAATCTGTTTTTCGTTTTTTAAGCAAACAAAATAAATCCTATAAGAAAGTTAACATCAATAAGTACGATCTGAACGTAGATAGAGCCAAACTATGGCTCTTAAACCACATTCTTTCATGAAAAAAGGGCAGATTTGAAAGGACATTTTGAAATTGTATAGTACTTCACACATTTATTGTAAACGGGCTTAATAATAATCAGTCTTTTTACTTTCCATGGTTAAGCATTCTTTATTATATTTTCGATAATGACGTAAAATCCAAAGGTCACGACATTAAACAACACGTTCCATTTTAAGACGACTGAAAGAAAATACCTACTAATGTATTTTTATTAATAAAATTACCTGATGTTATGAGAACATTTCCAGTTTGTGTACCATTTGAAAATTACAAAAGTTTAACCTCAAATAACCAAACTTAAAATTATATATTTTTGGAAACATAAAGTGGCTGATAAGTTAAGAAACTTACATTAAACACACAAAAAAAATCTTACGTATTTATTGGTATATCCAAAGTAATTTAAAACCAATCAGTACTCTTCTTTTTCTTTCATTTATTAATGTTCCCCAATGGAACAGCAGTACGTCTACGGACTTACACTTCCAGAATGCGGGATTCAATTCCCCGCAGTGGACACAGCAGATAGCCCAATGTGACTTCCAGTGCACCAACATATAAATCAGATAGAAGTGTAGAGTTACAATGAAGACAAAATTACACAACTAATCAAACTACTACATTCAATTTATACGAAAATTATTTTTTATCAATAACACTCGTGCACATAAATCTATGGTAAAGTTATACAGATACAATTCACTCTCTGAACAAACAATACATTGACACATAATTTTTCTAAGGTTTAAACGTAACTACAAAATTAATCACGTGTTACACCTCCGAGTCGTCATCCTTTGCCTCGTCAATTTCAGCTTGTAATTCTTCAGACTTTCTTAGATCAATTGCAAATTTCTTGGGATTCTTTTTAAAACCCTTCTTCTTGGCTGTCTCGCTGAAAGCTCGAAAAGCTGCAGCCAAGGCCATTGTGAGTTCTCGAGCACTTCGGTGCTTGTCACACACATAAGCATGACATTCAAAGGGGTGATTTCGGAAAACATCTTTGGTATCATGAACAACTATCATGGCAAAAATTCGGGTATACACCAAATCTTGGACACCATATGATATCGAATCAATCGGGTAAGTCCCTTTATCAAAATTAGGATTTTTGTTTTGGGGCATTGCGCTAATTGTCACACCATCTAAAGACACCTCAAGTTGAATGAAAGGCAGAGGTGTTTCGGACTGATTTGCACGTGAAGCTGCAACCATATCATCCACTGGTTTTCGAGTATTCTTGATTCCCCAGAGACCACGGGCATCACGCTTTCCTAAGTACTTGACAACGAAAGTACGAGGAAGTTTTACGCCTTGTTCGTCGATGTTTTTGCTATTGGTAGTTGGCAACTTTGATTTCACTGAGCTGTTATCCGCAGCAGTCTTGGAGCTGGTGGGAGTTTTGTTAGGCTTCTGGCCGTCAGGAAGTTTATCTGTTGAAATTTTGGCTGCACTATCTTTCGAATTATTGACCAAGCCAAAATCATCGTGTGAATCTTCACAGTGACTGTGTTCATTAGAGTCCATCTTTAGGAATAACAAGTTAAAAGTTTCTACAGTTTAACAGTCCAATTTTAGTTTCATAAGCAGATGGTCCTAGACTTCCCTAACCTGAACTACTTCAAAATGGCGTTTACATGTTGTTGAAACGTCGAGTATTAGCTAATAAAATTGTAGATAACGTGTTATCACGAAAGAATGCTTGTTTATGAACCTTAACCCTCCAGCCTCAGTGCCACTAGTAATTGTGATATCGGTGTGCGAAAGTTGCTCTGCTCTCACGTGGATATTTTTTTCTCAATCACTATTTACCCCTACCCCCGAATAGATAGCTCTTGGTATTTAAATTATTTTCCTAATTTAATTGCTAAAAAGTGCTTACGATTGTTTTAATGAAATAGTGAACACGTATTCGTATTCTATCTGTTACTTCTAGATACTGCATTTTGCATAATATCGAACTTTAAACTTGTTCTTATGAGTTTTTTTTACAATTCTCCATTATCTGTCCTAATTACACCCCTGGAAGTTACCGAATTTTTTACATCTGGACAAAACAAAGAAATTTGTCTGGTTTTAATATAATGACCATTTTGAAGCATAATACCTTCACGCTCAGCTAATTTTTTTTGGTTGGGGGGGGGGGGCACAGTCTGAAAATAAAGTATTTTGTTATCAGCTTTGGGTTAATAATAATAATCATTCAAATAATATTAAATAGGATGCATTTTACTTTAATATTAACAAATTTTAGCTGTTACTTTTATTAACTTATTGGTTTCCAATACAGACAAATATTTTGAAAATAACTAATCAAAGGTTTATACATGGGTTTGATATTATTAAAACGGTGTATGGAAAGCATATGAGGGGCCTATACCCGTCCTTGGCCTATGGGCACGATGACCATGCTCACTCTTCAATCTTGGGAATTCAGGGATGAAGAAAGGAGGGGGCAGCTGCCCCGGGGCCCGGCAATAAGATATTTCAAAGCTCACTAGAAATGCATACTACTTAACTGAGCTAAAATGGCTACTGCTTTTTCATGAATTCATGAAGAACTTTGCCACCTAAATTTCGTTCATGAAAAATCAGCAAAGTTAATAAATAAAATTAAAGAGGGTACCCTTCCACAACAAAATTATTTAGGCGTGGGGTTAAAGTTCACTCGAGTACTTTATAATGCTACAGTGACGACCAATAGCGTTTGAATAAAACGAAACACTTTTACTCAGTAGTAAACTTTAAAGATAAATGATGAAGGTTATCAAAGTCACATATAATCATTAAACGTAAGAAAAGTACTGAGTGGCCCTTTGTTTAGTGTTGTAAGCTGAGGCTCAAGAAATGATGGCTTTAAAATGTTCCGCACTTTTAGTTATTGGAGTGTTATAAATGTGACAATCCATCCATTATTCGGTCCGTTGAGCTGAACAAAGCCTTGTAGCGGTGGGTACTACTGACTGGCTTCCCTCCTTCTGATCAATAGTTTAAATATACTTCGCCCTTATGAAGCCAAGGTTGAAAATTCTAATTTCATTTCCAAAGCCTAAGAAATATCAATCAAAAGAACCACAACAGTTAATATAAAAGCCTTACACACACACACATTTTAGGCACAGAAAGAATAGGTAGGAATATATCATACAAGTGTAGATAAAGTAAACACAAACACATATCATAAATAGTGTGTATATAAGCGCAACGGTGTGTCCCCAAGTTTTTTTCTGTTTTAGGATATCAGAGAAGGCCTAACTCGTTTGGTTCCCTCCGGTGACTCAGCGGTAAATCTGCAGGCTTACGATGCTAAAAATCGGGTTTCGATACCCGTGGTTAGTACAGCACAGATAGCCATTGTGTAGCTTTGTGTTTAACAACAAACAAATCCAACTCATTTGGTTTGATTCTGAAAGGACACAATAAGTCACAGTTTCTCCACTTTTCTCTAAAAAATATCTAATAATAGACATTTTAAAGTGAAATAAAAACTCTTGAACTCGAAAGTACTAGTTAACAAAGCCATTGTTCTAACCATTGAGTTAACTAGGAGTACAAACAATAAATCAGCGCATCTTCACATTTTTCGAAAAAACAAACAAACAAAAATTTATATGGATATTTTAAGATAAAAAAAAAGACTCCGGGACTGAGTCTTGGACTTGAGACCACTGGCTAACAAGATCAATGCTCTAACCATTAAGTTATCAAAGCGTATAAACAATAGATCACTTTTCTCTAAAAACAATTGATATTTATTATTATTTTTTTAAAGTGAAAAAAACTATGGGACCGAGACTTCTCGGGACCTCCCACTATCCAATTTAAATTGCAATGTTAAAAGTGTAGCTTATAACCGTTACACTCACTATAAAGCCTGTAGATTCATTGAACAGAGACGAAATATGCAGAATTAGGAAGTGTAGAACAAAAAAAAAATGAAAGAATTATTGTATAGATTGTTAAAGTAAATATTATCGTATGTTCATAAAGTAATAATGTTAGGCTATTGTCAGCATAATTGTCAATCTAATCGGTAAATACTGGTTTAGCTCATAGTTCTTTAATTGTTTTAAGAATGAATTCAATAAGGAAACTGAAAACCATATTCAGTGTGAGCCTTTAGTCAATAGTATGACGCTTCTATTGATGATTCAGAATACTATTTGTATATCTATAATTCTGTAATACATATGTATCTCTTTATATATAGATGCCCGTGCTCTATCTTATCTTAGAACCTCCCACTCTCTCTCTCCCGAGAGCTTAATCCGCCCTGTGGATAAAAAACCTAATGACGTAAGCTGCCGAGTCTTTTATTGGTTTCTTTTTGATATTTGCACAAAGCTACACACAGGTTGTCTGTGTTAACAATTCCTAGTTTTGAGCTGATAGAAAATAGTGAAAAAACAGCTAGTCAACAGCACCCACCACCAACTCTTGTGTTATTCTAACTGAACAGAGAGATTTGAGCGTCACTTTTATAACGAACCCACAGCCTCAAAGTACGGAGCTTATTTTTAGGTCAACCAGGCACAAGCCGTAAACACAATCCGGCATGCTAACTACTGGGCCACGCCCAGTGCTCAGCTGAGTCCTGTAATTCATTTGGATAACATTCTCTATAATTGATATATATCTCGAAACTACATATCTCAGATAATTGTGGCAGGATACCTATTATCCAACATGAATAAATAAGTTACATATTTTAAGCGATACCATGAAAAAGGTGTACAAAATCTGAAGGCTAAATCGTTCGATTAAGTCATTATAATTTATTCATGCAAAATGGTCAATTTTAATTGATTTTGTTTGTTTTGGTGTTGAGGTATCTAGCAAAATAAACTAGGTGTTTCTTTGGTGACGCTAATCCACGAGTTTCGCTTGCAAACTAAGCATAATTGGCTTTGAAATGTTTGGCTGTTATCCAAAATAAATATTAACTTAGTTTTGGTATATGTTCGTGAGTAAACTAAGATAACTATAAGAGCCCTCTACGAAAAGGACCAAAATAATTTCTAATGGACTTCTGCTGATCTAGCGTTATTGTTTAAGGTTTCTTATTAAGTACAATGATGTACAGTGGGCTAACTTCTCTCAGCTCACTGCAGGAACCAACCCAAAATTTCAGCATTATAAGTCCTTGCCGCTGAGCTACCAGAGGAGCTCTATCATTATGAGTAACGTGCTTTGTTTCAGATGTTCCCAATAATAAATTCAACAGAACGTTGTGACTCCGTAATTCTGCCTTCTCGAGTTGTCGAACAGTCAAAGTAAAACAGAGAGAGTGCAGGTGTAAATTTAATAATAAACAGTCAATTCATTAATTACATTACACAAAGTTTGTTTGTTTGTAATTAAACACAAAGCTACACAATGGGCTATCTGTGCTCTGTCCACCACCGATATCGAAACCCGGATTCTAGCGTTGTAAATCAGCAGACATACCACTGTGCCTCTAGGGGGCATTACACGAAAGAAACTATCCACTTAAACTAACATCTCATTGTCAAGAGAAAGTGAATTATCTTCTCAATGAGCAACGTTTTTTTTTTTGAAACTATCGTTTGTTTTACAGCACAAAGCTGCACAATGGGCTATCTAAGAGTTTTGTTCAGAATAGTTTTAATATTCACGTTGTTTTGAATCCGTTTTACTTCATCATATAGTAATCTATATTAATTTAGGATTGCGAATAATGTTATGATATTTAGTCAGAAAGAAAAGAGAAATCTTAAACATATACGTAGCTTTAATATTCGTTGTGCACTGTCAACAAAAATGATGTGTTTAGCAACAAAACTTGGAAACTCGTGAGTGATTAGAACATATACTTTCAATCTAGTCTGTAGTCTTTCGCTCATGATAGTTTTTTTTTATTCATCCTCGAGTATCGAACAATGACACGTGCTCAAATTAATACAGTGTACTTTTTTTATGGTTAAAGGTCCAGGATAAGGAAATTGTTTTACATTTCTTTTTTTATTCTTAAAACGTATGATACAATCAGGATTAAGTATTAAATTTAGTGGAATAACCTAGTGTCAAAACGTAAAATTAAAAAAAGTATATTTCAACAAATGAATTTAAAAAAAGAAACTGAAGTAATTAATTAGAACCTTAAAATTTCACCATGGAAACTGATTTTATTTTTGGAGAAATGCATCTCTAAACCAATGTCCAGGAATTCTTGTGTTGTTACAAGAATATTATTCAAACAAACGAGAACTGTTGTTTGTTCTGGAAATTCGTGAAAAGCTACACTAGGGCTGTTTACACTAGTCATCCTTTCGCGCCAAAAATTGTTAGATTTATAGGTCTTCTACAGAAGGTTGAGTACGTTATATTAAAATTATTTTGAACACGCAAATGAGCAAATCAGGCCCGATGTAAAGTTGCAATGTAACGTCACGTGTCATGACTGTATTTTGACATTGTTTGGTGTTTCGTAGGTAGCGTGGTGCTACCGATAGTTGATCGCTTTTGGATTATTAAGTGTTCTATCAATTTATTACTCTTATTGGTGTTTCCTATTTAAGTGCTCAGCATGTAGCAAAGATTAACGATTTATCTAGGAGTTAGTTTCCACGACGGCTTCTTCGTTATCAGAGAACCTTCTTCCAAATTCTTAACTGAGATAGTATAAATTTTCAGCTTATGCGCATGACCAAATGTTTGGTTTCCATAATGGCTTCTTCGTCATCAGAGAATTTTCTTCCAAATTCTTAGTTGAGATAGAATACATTTTAAGCTTCTGCACATGACAAGGAGTTGTTGGGGAATTACAGGATAAGACTGACAGCTGGAATATTGTTAGCCTGTTACAGTAGAAGCGAAAATGACCTTGAATGAGAGGACCTCTAGCGGTTTGTACAGGTACACATACGTGGAACACCTGGTTGTGGTGAAACAGGCAATGAAAACTATATTTTATTGTAGATAAATTAAAATGTGGACATTACAGTCCTTGAAACGTACTAAGTGGATGTTATTAATTAATCATTTTGAAGTAACTTGCACGTACTCCATAGAATACATTTTTTACAAACCTGAAAATTTGTTATTAAGTTAGTAGCCGTGAGATTGATCCTTACGAATAAAACTGGAAGAAGGAGCTCCAAGCAGAAGAACAGCGCCATCTGATAGCCAAATAGCCCCTTAAGTAGCTGTGCGCTTAACAACAAACAAAACTCTATGATGCTGAGATGTGAAACACGTAGGTATGTAAATATCGGCGTCATCCGATATAACTTATGCACTTATGTAATCACATAAAGCTTATCTGGACACGAAAGTATTGACTCAAAACGTGTCTTACCAATCGTTTGCACGTTCAAAGTGTACATATTTAATTAACCATAATACACCAGCTATATTTATCTGTAGATGTTTGTTTTCAGTGTATGATTTTCAGCGTGTAATTTTGTAGTGTACAACGTGGATCAAAAGTCGCGTATTGCTACATATATATGTTTCTTCTGTTTAAACTGATAAACATTTACAGCTCCATACAAAACCCGGTTGATTCCATAAAAACGAAAGGATGTTTTCCTCTGCCAATAACACCTTCCACGATATCAATGGTAACGATTTTAATTACGTTTTTTTTTTATATTTTTAAGATGAACAGTTTTTAGAATAAGCTGAATACATGTATTTAGTTTCAGGGCAAATTATATATATTTTATATTTATATAACCATATATTCAGCTTTAGAATATTTCAATCACTTTGAATGTGATTTAAAAGTGACTGTGTTTTGTGCAATTAATTTAAAAAAACATTGTATACTATGTATTTTATTTCAGAATAAACTTCATACTATGTATTTATATTAAACTTTAGAATACAACAACTACTTTATAAACTGTATAATAAGTTGAATATTTTCCTACTTGCCCTAAGGAATAAGATTTATAATATTTAATTATATATTTATTGAAACGTTATACCATTATATAAAAATCCTGTTAAAGTTGCCCATCAACGCTGCTAAGCTACCAAGGCATATATCATAAAGACAAGTAGGGCTCAATATATATACGTAACCTAGCTGGCTATAGTAGTATAGAACGTTTTAATGTTACAAAAAGTATTGAAACAAGAAAGTCAAAACTACAAACACTGAGTTACTTGTTTCTTTTTTTTATCCCTACTGTGGCTCAGACTAATATAATTACAGTGATTTGCCAGGAGATGCTAATTGCTGTAGCAGGTGGATTGTTTGTTGTTGCACCGTATACTAATAGGATTGGTTAGTTTTTGTTGTTTTACAGATAGCTTAAATAACTTATCTCTCTTAATTTAAATCTTGTGTTTACTAAACATTTTTATGGTTGGGTAAGTGTTTCAGTATGCATATATATCAGTCTAGTACAAGTACATTAAAAAGGAGATACTTCAAGTACTAATTAAACCTCTTTTACAAGTTGTTTTCTAATAATATTTACTTGTGTTAATGCCTTTTATTCCATAAATAGTTTTATCTTAGATGTTGTAAAAAGTTAAAACACACCTTGCAACAATTTTTCCACGTCTTGGGGTCTTTTTCTAACAGCACATTATTTTATAAAACGTCTTTTTTCCCTTTAATTTTAATGTTTCAATATTGTTATAATTTTACTTTTTCATTAACAGTTTAACACTTGTTGTGAGGAAAGGAAATCCACTATACACTTTAAATAAAAGTCCGGATGTTCAGCCTTTTAGTGGATTGTTTATTTTTATTTTTTTGTTTGACTTTATTACAACGTTTCGGCCACTCGTATAGCCACCATCAAGTAATTGTCACCTGATGATGGCCACACGAGTGGTTGAAACGTTGTAATAACGCCAAACAAAAAACAAACAATCCATTCAAAAGCTATACCTCTGGAATTTTATTTAACAATATCACACGTGACTTACAATTTCTCACGTTAAAAGTGTTGCGAATAATAAAATGCACAAAATAGTATTGCCAGACAAACTTAATATCATATTGTTACGACAGCGGGGGTCACGTGACGCTAGTATCACGTCATATTCTCGAAGGTTCGTGAATGCTCGGGTGTTTACTAGATATGCGGTATTCATGTATATAAGACCGCCAAGAAGTGACGGCAACAATGGAATGTAATTGAATTGCAGACAGAGATAGAGACGGACAATCGAGTAGGGCGCGTGAGTCGTTCGTTGTGAATTATAGCGTGACTGTGGAAATTAAGTGTAATGCAAAGTTGTATTCAGAAAAAATAAACTCGCTAAAGTTTCTTCGGAAATAATTTTTACGGAAAATTAACTAACGACAGAGACGTCACAAATTAGTGTCAGAGAGTGGGACAAAAAAAGGAGATGGAAACGAGAAGCAGCAAATCAAACTACAGCTTAGCAGATTTGATGGCA